CATGTGAAAGTTGGGACACTGAACAAGGAAAACCAAAGAAGAATCCATGCCTTTGAAGGGTGGTGTTAGGGAAGAGTACTGACTATCACAGACTGCCGAAAGAACAAACATATGTGTCTTGAAGAAGCTCCACTAGGGTGCTTATTACAGGCAAGGGTGGTAAAACTTCGCCTTACATGCTTCTGGCATGTTGTCAGGAGGGGCCAATCCTGGAAAAGACTCCATGCAGGGAAAAGTGGAGGGTCAGCAAAAAAGTGGAAGACTCTCAATAAGGCGGACTGACACAGCGACCACAGCAATAGGCTGGCTAGTGCATGGTTTGACGGACCATGAGGATGAATCACAATACGGCAAGGTTTGAATCTGTTGTTTCTAGGGTTACTATGAGTTACAGTTAACAGCATCTAATGGCAACAAGATGTAAAGGGTACTTCTGCTAGCCTATAATGCACATGAGGCTAACGCTAGGGAAATTTAAAATTAAACAGGAAAAATATGTAAAGAAAACACCTACCTGTCATGAGGAAAGAAAGGGTTAGTAGATTAACTCACACAAAAGAAGTAAATGTCTTAGAACACACACACACACACACACTTTTACTTTAGTCAAACAACAGACAAGAAATCAGACAATACTACTACTAGAGAGAAACTCACCCCTTAGAATAACCAACCAAAATGACAGAGGACAGCATGTGCCCAAAGACAAAGCTCAGAAAGCAGGAAGGGGTAGAAGGGGATTGATGGAAATGAGACTCATAAGTAAAAGCGGATACAGTGCAGTTAAACAAGGCAAAGTAGAGAACTTTTTGAGGCTGTGAGAATTTCACATTCAAAGGCACCTAGGAAAGAACAGCATATTAAAGGAGCAGCTAGGTTACTTACGTCAGTAGCAAGCAGCTCTGGTGGCACAGTGCGTAACATGTCAGACTGCTCATCCAAACGTTAGAAGTCCATATCCACTAGCTGCTCCTCAGAAGAAAGATGAGCAGTTTCTGCCTGTACAGGTTTACAGTCTCAGAAGCTCAATTAGAGGGTCACTGTGAGTCAGAATCAAGTCTCTGGGTCTCTTTCACTGATGTTGAGTCAGAATCAACTCAGAAATGACCCTCTGAGGATATAAAGCACATGGGAGGAAGCTTCACTTCTGAAGAGTAGTGGTGCATTTGAACCACCTGAGAGGTTCCGCCTCCGCAGTGCAACTCCCTATGGAACACCAGTGCTCCTAATCTATGGTAATAGGTGGGCATCAGAAGTGCATAAAAGCAAAACAAAAAGCCAAACCTGTTGCCACTGAGTCCATTCTCATTCATACTGACTCTAGTCAGTTGTTTCACAGAATTTGAAAAACATCTGGAAGACAGCTAGCAATCTCTGGTCAGGTGTTTGGAAACAATCCATATTTGTTCCCATTCTAAGTTAAGGTGATCAAGAGAACGCAGAAATTATATAATATCACTAATATCAAACACAAGTAAAATCGTCCTGAAGATTATTAAAAACTTCTGAAACAATACATCAACAGGGACCTGTCAGAAATTCAAGCTGGATTCAGAAGAGTTTACGGAGGTAGGAATATCATGGCCAATGTCAGAAGTATTATGGTTGACAGCAGAGAATACCAAGAAGTAGTTTACTTGTATTTTATTGACTATACATTCAACTCAAACTACGTATAATGAAAAGAATGGGAATTCCACAACACTCAGTTGTGCTCATGTAAAATCTGTACATAAACCAAGAAGTTGTTCAACCTGAACAAGGAGATATGGCAGGTTTAAAATCAGGAAATGTGTGCATAGGGATTGTGTCCACACCAATCTGCATGCTGAGCAAATAACTGGAGAAACAGAACTGTACATGGAAGAATGGGGCATCAGGATTGGAGGAAGCTTCATCAACAACCTATGTTATGCAGCTGACACAAATCTTGCTTGCAGAAAGTGAGGAAGACTAGAAGCAGTTACTGAAGACTAAAAACTCAGCCTTTAATATGGAATACACATCAACATGAAGAAAACAAAAATCCTCACATCTGGACCTATAGGATCTATCATGTTAAATATCATGTTAGATATGTTAGACTGAAGTTGGTGAAGATTTCATTTTACTTGGATCCCTAAACACCACCCACGGCAGCAGCAGCCAAGAAATCAAAAAGCATGTTGTTCTTGGAAAATCTGCTGTCAAGGCCTTCTTTAAAGTGCTAAAGAGCAAGGATGTCAGTTTAAACACTAAGGTGAGCCTGACCTAAGACATGGTATATTCAACCCCTTCGATGCATGTAAAAATCAAGACAATGAATGAATGAAGATCAAAGATGCATCAATGCCTTTGAATTGTGTTCTCGAAGACTATTAAAGATCCATAGACAGTCAAAAGAATAAACAGATTTTTCTTGAAAGCGGTGCAAACAGGATGCTCCTCAAAGATGGTGAAACTTTCTCATATACTTTTGGGCATGTTGTGAGAGCCAATCTTTGGGAAAAGACATCATGCTGGGAAAAGGAGATGGTCTTAAAGTGAGGAAGACCCTCAATGGCATGTACTGACACAGTAACTCCATCAATGAACTTGAGCAGAGTGAAAAACGTGGTGATGCCACAGGACAGGGAAAAGTTTCAATCTTCTGCTCATAAGGTTTCTAAGAGTTGCAGTCAACTCAATGCACCTAAAAACTGCAATGTCTAAAACAACTATGAGGTAT